ATACTTATCTTTTTTACAGATCCTCTACGAGAGAATATTTACATACTCTACAACCAAGAGAACCTTTCAATTAATCGAAGAGATATCATTTTTAGAGCATAACTCTCATTATCTTATTTTTATAAAAAAAATGGATCATGAAAACCATTACTAGGATGCGACTTATGTATTTATTCAACATAATACAACCGAGAAGTCAGATTGGTGACTCCAATTCCTATTATTAATTTAGATATACATACTTCCACACTCACTACTATTTATTGTTTATCTAGATTTTCTTATTTATCAAATTTCTTATACATCTTCAATGTTTAAGCAGCGACTACCCTCTTGTGAGCTAAGAGCATGTTACATTGAAATTTTTACTTATATGAGAGGGTAATTTGGCTTTTTGTCTCTTTTGAAATATCAGCTTTGCTCTTTCTAAAATATTATTTTGTCCTTCATTACCATATCCCTTCTCACGTTGGGTTTAAAGGGATAGTTTGCCCCCCTTCAAAAAAGAGGCTAGTCTCGCCCCTAGCCAAAAGTCTAGCTCGGGTTGACTGACTCCCTCCTTCGCTCCAAGAACACGAGAGCAGAGCTCAAGTCGTCCTTGAGGCAAGCCTAAATGGATGCCTCAATAAAGTGGCAATGAAATTCACTTAATATGTCTAGCAAGAGGTGCAACCTGTTCAAGATAATGCCTAAATTTTTTATAGGACATGTATGCATGTACAAGAGATAAGATCTGTCAATTTATTGAACATTTTAAGAGAAAATTAAAAAAACACATATGAATTGTTATGCATATATATAGACATGCACACATACACACACAGTGCATTCTATTAAAAATTATCTATGAACACTACATTGCTAGCAAGTGAAAACAAAGACAATGAAACATAACTTGCAGACATGTATAACCATCTAAGTGAATTATGACAATTCAGTTTAATTACAATCCCCTTCTTTGAAGTCTTTATGGCAAAAAAAATGACAATATGGAGGAAGCCAGACGTTAGTCGAAGTCTCATATTCTTTATATTTGTCCATGTTAAGGATCCCCAACAAGCTTTAGGAACTAATTTATGTCTTCCCAAGTAGGAGCTAGGATTCTCATATAGACCATGGTTTGCAGAAAAGAGCTTGTTGATCGCTTGTGGATTCAATTTCACCTGATGTGATACTTGTTCTTTGAAAAATAAATCTTAAGTATAAATCAATCCCACTAGAATATAAATTCTTCAAATATACTTTTCCTAACCCATTATTTGACTCGCATCCTTAAAAAGGCATGCTCTCATCAAAAAATAACTCATCCTCTCAAAGCGACTAGTCTCTCCAAGCTTGGGCATGTAAGAGGACCAAAAGGTATTGATAAGTGAAATCAAAAGACTCAAACAACTCCTCCCAGCTGAAGAGCCAAGTACCTCGGGTGAAAAGCTTATCGTACTCACTCAAAATTTTAATTGACTACTCCTTGCAGGTGTACGTAGCCTAAGTACCCCGAGACAATGTACAGTGAAATCTCCATAGTGAATGTGAGTGATCAAGCTCCTTACAAGCAGCCGAAATGCCCCTGAGTGAAGGGAAGTCCATCTTGAATGAAATTGATTTTGCAGTTACCTTCTTCTGACCAAGCTATAGGTGCAGCTAGTATAAAAATTTCCAATAAACACATATCATCTTCTTGTTTTTCATTCTATTGTTTCAAAAGAGTCAAAGAGCTAAATATATACTCACATGCGGCTCCCATGACCAAAGCACACATAAGCATATTTCATGGGTAAGGAAAACTCGACCCCTTTTAAAGATATTCATTCACCATATCATGTCAAGCTCACTTACCATAGTAATCCACCGAGGTCACTTCTTAGAAGCTACCTTCCAAGCTCTATGTAACTACTCATTTAGATTAGTGAACTACTGGAGTAAAGAAAAATGCTCAAGAGAAAACATGCATTCATGTCTTTTCAAAAGATGCATGACATCCACATCTCCAACTTCTCGTTAAGAGATTGTAGTTGGATCTCATACTATACGGTCTAGTTTTTGTTATTCCCTTTTCCTCTCCATGGGGGGGGGGGGGGGGTGAGGATTGGGGCCAATAGAGAGATATAAATTCAAAAACCCCACCAATTTATAAAGGGATCAACTCTCACTATCTCCTCTATTGTCCAATCTCTTGTCAAATACCAAGACCAATGATTGAAGAGTGGACTTTCGCTTCGCTTTCCCTTCTTCCGTGTTCCTCTCAAATAAGTTCTATATTAAAGATACAAAATCTTACATCATAAAATGATTCAACATAAATAAATTTCATATATGCATATGAAAAACTAACAATGACTCTTATTTTTGTATGTTACTACTGATGAATTATTGACTCAAGTGCAATGTAGCTTAGAATATATAAAAAAAAATTTCTATTTGGTATTGGGCAAATTTTTAGTACTTTTTATATGTTGGAATAATTTATTTCAATATACAAGTTATATCAAGTTGGGTCCTGACATTAATTCACAATAATTGTATGAACCAACTATATGTTGTGTCTTTAATAAATTTAACAACGCATTAACATGATAAAATGTGCAATTTTGAATTTTTTTTAATGCTTTCAGAAATGTTATTTGCCATGAAGCTGTATAAGCCCTTAAGAAACAATCTCACATTATTAAAACAACTTCTTCTCCAGGTAAGCGTGAATTGTTGGGTTCTTCATCTATTTTTTGTCAAAGTATTAGTGAACTTCACTCGTCTATAAAAAATTGATAACCATCTATATTTTTCATGAAAATCTTTAAATTTTTTAAAAAAAATTATGACAATCATTGCAATATTGCGAATATAAGTCTTGCGAGAGGTCTTTGAAAATGTTATGGATAAAACACTCATTATATTAATGATTATTTCTATTATAAATAAGCACTAAATTTTCTATTAGAGCTATACACCGACTTAGAAAATCTAATCATAAAGAATATTCAAAATTTATTAGTTTATGAGTCAACAATTATAAAAAAATGCTTAGTAAATCTAATTATTCTCGTATGTTGAGTTGTTACCATTAATATAGTTTCTCCACATCATATATTTTAAAAATACACATTTAATGCTTTAAATACAAACGACCGTTAAAACAAACGTTGATTTAATTTTGTGAAGTGTCTGATTGGAGGTTAACTACTGCCGCATTTTATATATTTTTATTTTTTTTAGCATTAAATATAATGACAATTTTGAAAACATGTTATACCCCTTTACACAAGAGTTTTATATATGATATTATAATATTTGATTTCAAATTAGGGTCAAATTCATAAGCTTCTACATGAATAACCTTTTTAAGATTGTCATCGAAACACAAATTTTTTCCTCGATTTGATCATATTAAGAAAAAAATTTATTCGTATCATATATATGTAGATTGTTCCTAAGGGCATATTTGCTATAAAAAAAGATGCCCAACTTTGTTTTGCATATAAGAAATATTCAAATATAAGATGATTAAATCAACAATCATTGAACTGTTGTTACTTTCAAATACTAATATAGCTTTATTACACTGTGATTTTTAATCTAAAATAGTTGATTTTACGACAATGCATAGATGGAGTCATCATCATTTTATTTTTATCTTATACATTCACAAGATCACTATCATTAGCTTTCAAATCAATATCCAATACATCACTATGAGGCATTGCACATACTTAATTACAAGGCAGCATCCTTATTTGTGTTACTCTCTATGTTTATAGGAATATTTTCTTGGTGGCCACAACATACAATTGAGATATTTTTTGCAAAATTGTTTCATAAAGGAAAATATTTTATTAAAATTATATAGTTTTATTGAAAAAAATGCAAGATTTATCTTGCAACTATTTTTGTTGGAGAAATTGATGCCATAATTGTGGTTAATTAAAATAATACATCATCTCAAGCTTCAAGGTAGAATGGTTTTTACACATATTTGCAATTATTTATGTATGAAATGGTAGATCCTTCAAGGCTAATACTTCTTAGAAGTATTTATTTATGGATTTATTTTCATCTAAAAGCCCTACCAACTAAATTGCATTATTTTCCTTCATTTTACTTGCAACACAATAACATTCATTCTTCTTTTATATTAAAAAGAGTGTTAAAATGATAAACAAAAAAAAATGATTATTACGTGTTCAAACTGTGTATTATTATGCTTGTAATCTTATTCAAAGTTTGTTAATAAATAAAGTTTGAATAATGCTTGAACGCGGGGAACATTCATCTAATAAGTTTCAAATGAAGCTAAAATGGTATATAAATAAAGTTCAAGCTAAGCGGAGTTGATATATAATAATATCCAAATAAGTTTTAAGAATATTGTTTGAAGGCATCTATTTGATTTTCGTATCAAAATGACCTCAATTATAATGCTTAAATGCTTAAATGTATATAAAGTATATGAACCATCCCATAATCACTTTGACTATATTCCTATACTTTAATAAAACAATAGTTATAAAATAACATTTACATATAGTTGTTTGAATTGAAATTTGTGCACATTTGCCCAAATAAAAATATTATGCACATAATGTTTGGACATGAATATTATAAGGCATATAAAATAGAATTTTCCTTGAAGAAAGAATTATATAATGGCTCAACTTTCCATTATAAAATATTTAAAATAATCAAATAATCTAAGAAAATAATTAAAATAAAAAAAAATTATGCACGCTAAAAATAATTTCCAACCTTATTATTTTAAAAGAGATAAAATTAGCTGGCATTAATGTTTTTCTAATTGGATATTAAAAATTAATTAGTAAAGCAAAAGATAAGCCAAAAAAAAAGGACTGAACAATTAAAAAATAACAATTTTACCATAATTTTAGTAGAGTGATTGGGAATTCTTTTTGGAAAATCAGAAGTATTTAGAAATAACTTAAAGAAAGAGATTTATGATACATTAAAGGATTAATTGCAAGGGGTTACAAAATTCAGATATGTATATAAAGTGAAGCTCTGGACTTGCCCCAAATTCTCCGTTTCTTCTGAACCTCGAGGCGTCGATCCAAAATCTGCTCCTTGCTTCATCTTTCTCCTCTCCCCATCTCTTCCCGATACATCACTTTTACTCTTGAAGGAAGTTGGGGAAGGTTTTCTTACTCTTTTTTTTTCAGTCATCAACTGGTGCTCGGCGCTGCGGAGTCGCACACACAGGTGCTCGATTTGGATCAGAGCCAAAAGTCATCTTCGATTTGATACTATTGGTTTTATTGACACCGATTGTCGTGTTTTGAAGCATGGGATTTTTTGTTAGACTTTGGGATATTGATTTGCCTAAATTTGTTCTATCTATGGTTGATTTTGGCTTTCCGCTCTACTGAACACTTGTGTAGAGCTGAAGTGAGATTCTTAAGTTGGATGGGTCTACTGTCAGGGGTTTGGATTGTGGCCTTGTTGTTCTATTTAGTTGATCACTGGCTTGAAACTATAATTGGTGTTTATGATATTGGGATTTCCGAGATTTAATTGCGCACAGTTTGGTTGTAGATTGCTTATTTTATTATTTGATATATTTAGGCTTTCCTTAATTTTTATTTGAGTTGACGAGTGCATGAGGCTCAATGGTTATTTTGATGTTTGCAGGCAAAGAAAGGGAGAATAATTAGTTTAGTCTGAGTAAATTTGGTTTGAGTAATGGATGCGAGTTCCACCGAGGATTATGGAGCGGGTTGTATTTCATCACAAACGGAGGGCGTATCTTCTGGGCAGCGATACCAATCTGTTGATTCTCGTGCAGAATGGCGTTCCAGCGAGCAGCTGGAGAATGGAACGCCTTCCACTTCACCTTCTTATTGGGACATTGATGATAATGATGATTGTGGTATGTCTTGGACTATCTATATATTTGAGTTTGGTTCATGATTATCTGTACTGCATGAGGAACATATTTCATTAACATATTTCTCAATTCTACGAGGAGAATATGCGTTGGGATGGAGTGAATATACCTTTTTTTACATAACTGTTACTTTTTGTTGATCAAGGTTGCATGTTTCATGTTTGTTTAATTTTTTATTTATTTATCTTTTCCTTAGAGTGTACTTATGGAGGCTCTTGCACATTTGCTATGGCCTTTTGGCTTACTTTTTGTCTTAATTATTTTAAACATAACAGCCTACTCTGCAGATTCTTTTCATTCAATCGAAAAAAGTAAAAAAAAAAAATAATAGCGTGGGGAATAAAAATATTCATGATTGACTTTTCGCTGGAAATGATTCTATCTAAAATTAAAATTAAGCTGCTGGAATTTTTACTTAATTTTCGCTGGACTTAGATGGGAGAACTGAAAAAAACATTGATAGATCTTATGTCACCATGATTGATGATATCAACCAACCACACACACACACACACATTTGTTTTGTCCTCTTCATTTATTAATGTTAGAAGGCAGAAAAACACTAGATATTTAATAAATTGGCTTCACAGTACAAGTATGCACATGCATATACAAAAGTAAGGGAAGAAAATAGCGAAAAATGAATGCAATATAGGAGAATATCTTCAATAACTAGGACACATTACAATAACAAAAATTTCAAATTCCTACTACAAAGTTGTGATACATATGTTAATTTAATAACTGTAATACTCTTTCTCAAATTTAAGATGGCATAAAAGATGTCAGCTTGAGTTTAAAAATGACAGTGACCATAATTGAAGGTATTTTTTTCGCTCAAAGGTTGCACGAAGTGTGTAATCGATTCACAAAATAGAGTGTAGTGTAGATTAGACACAAAGTTGACAACAAGATCAACGCTAAAAATGACACAAATAAGATCCTTAATTAGAGATATTGATGGACGTTGTTGACAAAATTATCACTTGAGACTGTTGATGAAGAATATTGATAGAGTGTATTAATGAAGAGATATTAATAGACAATATCTATAAATGGAGAATTAATAGAGATATCAATTATGAGTCTTGTTAAGAATATTGATAAGTACCATTGATAGAGAAATCAATATAATAACGACAAAAGGTATCAACATGATCACTGCTAGTTAGCCTAAGTAGATCAGAGGCGTACATATAATTTAGAAAAGATGGCTAAGCATCTTAATGTTTGGTAACAAAATTTAGATCTTATAGAGGGAGAAGCTGGTAGGGCATATACACGTCATAATCCGAAGTGTGAGAGCTGCCTAATGGATATTAGATGCTCAAGAAGTGCGTGATCTACTAGGTATTTAGAGAAGATTGAAATAATTTTAGGCCATGGCTTTGATATCATGACACCGTATCGATTGATCCTCGAGATATGCTTAATTTTTGTAGTCTCGGTCGGTTTAAAAATTTTATCCTCCTAAATTTGGTGCCTTGATATAGATTATTTTCCCCAAAAAAAGTGAATGGATATACATATCGTTTTAAATATGAGAAGATTTTAGAGTTCCTTTTAGTGAGTTGATTCAATTTTGAATTACCACTATAGAAACATGCGGTAACAAAAGAAATCATTTACACAAACTGTAATATGCACAGTGGAGCAAATAATTTTATAGACAATGTTTCTATGCCATATTTTTGTGGTCCTATGAACATGAAATTCCTTATTTATCTCACACGCTTCACTTGAAATATGCAAATTTCAAGACTTAGGAGTATTTTATGCTCAAAATTTTCATGTTATGTTCTAAGGTTGTTAATCATTGTAATTCATTCATTAATATTCATAATTCTCCATCTAATTGACACAAGAAGTGTTGGAAAGAAGAGCAAATTTATGCTTCACGCTAGTTTGAATAATTATGCCTTTAGTATGAGACATTGGCTAACTATTCAAACTTTGCTTACAGATGTATACAATCATAAAAATAAATCATTTTTTACATAAGCAGACATAACATATATTCTAAGAGAGGGCGAATGGTTTGTTTTATGTAGCTTTGGGATAAGGTGTCAATGTAAATATAGATATATCATTTCACAGTTGAATGGGCCATGAATGAAAAACATTTTTGTTAAATTGAGTCATATATTGTCTAATTAAGTTTTATTTTTTTGCTTTCTCAAGTAAAATACAGGCTATTTTAGGGTCTTTGATTTTTATTTTGACTTTTTAGTGTCTTGCTACATGCGTTAGGATGATTAGTTTATTTCTTTGTTTGGTGTAATGCTAGTTTTCTTAATAGTGTAAATATTCTTTGATTTAGTACTACTTTCAGTTTTCAGTGTTGCTCACTTGGATTTCCTTAATTCATGAATTATTGCCAAGTTTTCTTTCTATGTGTTAGGTTTATGAACATTTGTTTGTTAGTAACTTGAACGAGTGCAACAGTGATTTTTCTAAGCTGTTTAGACCTTTATGGGAAGAAGGGAATAGTGTACTGTAATGGAGTAAAATAGAAGTTGACTAATTGTAGGGATATGCATTGGATGGGCCAAACCAAAAAAAAAAGGTGTTGTATCAACCTTGTTCTATTATTTTTTGTTTTCAATTTTTATGTAATCATTTCGTAATTTTTTTATTGCTTTCACATTTGTTTATGCTTCGAAAAAAATTGAAGCATGAAAATCTAATTAAAAATAAAAAATTCATGGTCTAGACCTGTATTTGGATTATTGATTGATTTTATAACGTATCAAGTTGATTCTTTATTGGAAAGCATATTGATTCCATAAAATGTAGTTGGATGGATTTTACTATAGGCATGATTTTGGTATATCTATTTTTCTTGAATGATAGTTAAAATAAATTTGTTCGATTGATCTAGGAAGTTGAACTAATTGTATGTAAACCCATAAATATTGTGGAAGAACAATTTATAGGAAATGAAGAGTAAGACTGTGAATAAACCAAGTCGAGCGAAGTACTTTTTTGAGCCGATTTGAGATTTTAAGAATGTGTTCGAGCTCATGGCTGTTTCTCAAAATGCTGTTTTAGATCAGCTTGAGCTCAGTTTAAATTGGTATTATCTAGCTTACTAATAAGCAACACATTTGACAAAATATACTGGTTTTAATTAGGCCTCATTCAGAGCTTTTTATATGAAGTTTGTTTGAAAATAAATGAGTTTTATCTAGCAAGGTTTGTTGAGAAAAAAAATATACTTCTAAAGAATGCTATTCATGAGCAAACCTTATTTATGGTTCTTAACGCGTTTGCTCATAAGTTTTAAAAGATACTGTTCATTAACATAAACAAAACAAACTATTTGTTGTTTAAGTTTGTTCTTTTGACATTTAAGTATTTACAATGTTGTTCAAGCTAGTTTAATTAATTAATCAAATGATCTTGAATGAGTTCTAATCAAGTCGAGTCACTATTAATTTGTTGAATGCTTTGTTCATTTGCAGTCCAAATGTTCAAAAATAGAAGTGTTAGAAGATAGAATTGATTTAAAAGCTGCCATTATGGGTGATACAAGTTATAGTTATCGTTTCTGTGATTATGCATGGCTCTTGTAGTCTAAGTGGGCTTCTAACATGCATGTAGATTAGGTATTGTCCCCGTTCTCAGTCGTCCCTGTAGCATAGCTTATCTATTATGTCATTTTTGAATTTCTTGGGGTTCATAGATTGGTATGTTTCTACTGGTGTCATTTTTGAGTTTTATTGTTGATTAGGCAATCCCAACTTTTCCTTTAATGATGCCAAATTGGGTTATGAGTTGAGTTCCAAAATTACTTGGACACTAATATAGTCAATAAAAACCCAACTTGTTTATTTAGCGAGTTAAAGATCTCAACCTAAACTCAATTTGACCAAACTTGAGCTTGACATGACACAAAAATCATTTAAGTTTGATGAGTTAGTCTCAACCTAAACACGATTACCCAATTTGGACATGAAAGCTCTAGGAAAAAAAATTCATAAATTTTTCTATAGAAAAGGAATCAAATTATGAAGTCATCACTTTTGGGTTTACCCAAATCTGATTTCATTTTTTTTGGAGTCACTTAAGCTGATTTAAAATGGATCTGAATCTTACACAATATGGCTTGGAATTTTTATTTATTTTTTTCGTTGGGTTTAGAGTAGGTTTTTCATGTAGGGTTCAATATTACTACTATTTTGCTTGATTTTGTTTTCCGGTTTTGGTACTCCGGATAAATCGAGACTTGAATTTTGGATCTTTGAAGCCCAATAAGCTTAATTTCATGCTAAACTGAACTCTATATTGCGGGAATATAAAATTATAAATATATTAATTCAGACATATAAACATTGTTTTAGATTTCTCCTTCAATCTTGCGTGTTTGTTGTATTTTGATTTATGTTGAGTTAGATGATTAAATTTTGAGGGAGTTAATTCCTTGGATCGGTGTGAGGATGCATTTCTTCGATTTGGTAAATTTTTCCCTTGATTAATTTTCTTTAAATTACCACCTTATTGATTTTGAGAGCATTTTTTATTTTAGTCAAATCTATATTACAATTGGACTCTCAATTGTGAAGTGAGTTTAATTGAGTTCTTGGTTTTTAGTGGACTCAAAATTTGCCCCATTTTCATATTTTATTTTGATGGTTGAATTTTTGTTTGGTTCGAATTTCTCATATTTTAAGTTCACATTAAAAGAAAATGAATCTTTGTTTAGCTAGCGATCTTTCTAAATTTTTGTTTGATTTTTATTCTTGCATCAAATTGATATTATATTTTATGGATGCATTTACATACCAGCTAGAAGTAGAAGATCATAATGTAGTTAATCAAACAAATTACTAATGACGTAAGGTGGTCAAACTTGGATAAACTATGGTTCTAAATCATACAACGTGAGTATAAAGAGGTTTAAAATTACATTCCTATATTTAATGACACGCCCTTAGGGATTTTTGAAATTAATTCTATGATTTGGAAGATTTCTTTGAAAGATATAATATGTTCATTTCTCAAATTGTTGAATGTGTGAAACCAAAATTACTCTCATTCCATTTGGTCAAGTGTCTATACATTGACCAATATGAAATGTAATCTTTTAAGAACAAAAACATATCGTTTGATGAATATTGGGATTAATTGCATGATTAATTAAAATTGTGTAAACATGATTATTATGGTTTAAGTATTTTGTATGGTTTTTTGCTTCTTGGTTAACCATTATTTTCCTATAAACCATTATATTCTTGTTATTGCTGTCCTCACTAAAGGCCTAAAGCAAGAATTTCAATAAGAATTAAGTTATAATTCACCAGTTCGTGAGGCGTTATGCACTATTTTTAGATATCGATGAATAGTGCAACTTTTCTTTTCTAGGATTGCATAACTTTTACTTATTTCTAAGGATTGTTCAAAGAATCTTATCAAAGTCTCTTTATATGCTAAGTTGCTAACATAATAATCATGTATGTTTGAATCCGATTTAAATAAAAATAATAGTTCATGCAGATATTTTTGAGGATAAGAAAATGTATAATTCCTATTTTATTTACTTACATTTTACTCAATTCCTAACTGGGTTATCAAATAGTCAACATTTAATGTTGCAAAACCATCTAAGATAACTCTCTAATTGTGTCTTTCATTGGAGTTATTCAAACCCTTAAGCGGACATTTTCGTTTCACATTTTATCTCTAATCGTGAAGCCACTCAACCGCTTGAGCATCCTCATCTCAGCAAAACTTATATTTATGCTTCTCTTTTCTTGTCCAACATTCCGTCAAGGGTGTGTATATTGCATGAATATTAAATCAAAAGGTACAAAAGAGAACTATAAAAGTTACACAAAAAGCGTAGTGTGGTTAACGTCATCCGCCACCGCACTCAAATAATCGGGGTCACTAGTTTGAGCATCCCAAACAAAAGATCTACGCAAAGCAAACCGAGCAAAAAATGGGCTGCTTTGTTACAATCCCTATAAACAAAAAAAAAAAGGTACTTGCTTGAATTCCTGTAAAAAGATGAAGTCCATATTAGAGATGTTTTGCTGATGTTGTACCTTGTTCTCCATGTTTTTTTTTAAAGGAAGTTGATAACAACAACAATCACTTTCAATAATCAACCCTTTCATCTCCATAATCCATGGCTTTGCTAGCTTGCCTAAGAAAAACACCGCACCATGCCCCACCTGAAAATTATATAGGCCAACATTCCGCCCCATAAATCACTGCTTGTCTCACCATCATCTTATAAACTATTTCTTTAAGTCTAAGCGATACTTTTTTTATCACAAAATAAATCAAATGCATTTCTCTACTTCAACCATCTAATTTGAATTCTACTAATAATACCCCATTGGTACTTTCTTATCAAGCTATAGCTCAATTCATTCTCTACTTCAACCATCCAATTTGAATTCTACAAATAACATCTCCATCTATATCACCATCACTTTGAACAATAGACCCGACATATCTTAAATGTTTACTCATTTTAATGACTGTATCATCCATTGTTACAATCCCTCACTAAATCTATTACTACTAAAATTACATTCCATTTATTAAGCTTTGGACTACTCAAATGAAAGCATTTAGTCTCTAAGGTTGACCTTTCTAATTCAAGTTTTTCTTGAACTCACTTTAGTCTTATTCACAAGAAGGATATCACCAGCAAAAAAGATATACCAAGGTATATCCTCCAGTAAATATCCAATAAGAACATCCACAACTAAAGCAAAAATATATGAGCTTAAAGTCGATCCTTGATGTAATCCATCTGAAATAGAAAAATACTTGGTTAATCCTCCTTGTGTTTGAACACAAGTAACAACTCAAGTATACACATCATTAATGAATTGAATATAATCAATATCAACACTTCTCTTTTTCAGAACTCTCCAAAGTACTTGAAACTTTATCATAAGCTTTTTCTGAATTGACAAAAACCATAAGTCGATCTTCCTTTATCTCTCTGCACTTCTCCATCAAGCATCTCAATAAATGTATAAATTTCATAGTAAACTACTTCGACATAAATCCAAAGTGATTTTGAGAAATTTTTGTATCACATCGTAACCTATGTGCATCCCTTTTGCCTTAAAAATAGAAATCAGTTGACTATTTATCCACTCATTGGACATCTTTTTAGTTTTTAAAATAATATTAAAAAGTTTAGTATGCCAAGAAATTTCCAAATCACGGATACAAAAATATATATTTAGGTATACAACATTCTATATTTTTTCTGACTTAGTTTGTTGTTAAGTGAGGACAGTATAAGAAAATAATTGCCAGATTAAGTTTTGGGATATATTTTTTCCAAATAAGTAAAAAATATGTTAATTAGTATATGCTCAAGGATTATGGAAATAAACTTATTAACACATCTTTTCTTTTTTCTATTTTCAGGACTACTTTTGTAGATGCATGAGCTGATAGCCGGATTATTTTATTAAATTTCAGCTTACCAAATGCTACCGATTAAACCGGAGACAATGGCTTTTTTTAAATTTGTTAAAAATTTCTATGTTTCTAGAAAGGAAAATAAAATCCATTGTTTTTTAAAATTCCTCCTTTTTAATTAGTATTTTTTGAAACTATGAATACCATATATATATATATATTTGATCAACACCTTTTGCATCACTTAATTGCATTGGGAGTCGGAACTATTGGACATCTTGTATCTAAGAGGATGGGTACTGGTGCTCTTGTATATGCTAACCTAGTTAATGTGTGATGCCTTGTTTTGTTATTTTTTATTGCTTAACTCGGCACCTCTTTAGTGTGAATGCTTTGTAAAATCGTTTTAAACTTGCGACATTATATCTTTTAATATATTACAATTGAAATGATGAACGGAAGCTTTCTCAGACTACCGGTTTTATTTAGCTGATTTGTATTTGAGATCATTAATGTGAATTTAATTTCTTAAATGGATTTGAAATATTTGTTGGAGAGTTCATTATGAAATGGCTCAGGAGAATGATTTTTGGCTTCTTTTTTGTGTTGTTTTATTGTTGCAGCTGTCTTTGATTTTTTTAATGTTAAAGCATCAATAAAATGCTGATGTGGATTATTGTTTCTTTCTCCTTTTGAAATGGTTTATGGGAATTATTGCTTTTTCAGGACCCAGACCGTCTGAGCTTTATGGGAAACATACTTGGAAGATTGAAAATTATTCACAAATTAACAAACGTGAATTGCGAAGCGATGAATTTGAAATTGGTGGCTATAAGTGGTAAGTTATGCTACCAAATTTAATGTCTTGCAAAAATGTTCTTCCTTATTTTTCAGGCATGCACGTCTGTACATGTTCATTATATTTTAGCTCTCACATATTGTGTACACTGCTTGCGGCGTTGTATGATAGTGTTATCAATGCAATTATGAGGTTATGAATCTTATGACTTGATTACTATTTCAAAATCCTTTATCAGGTGTGAATTGGTAAGCCGATTAGAAGGTGCACTTATAGTAGGTAGTGTAAATGATTCATAAAATATCAAAAATGTGTTGGCTAGAAATTGACGTTTGTATTTCAATTGCAATATTGCTTTAGTTGTATCTTTTTTTATTATGGGAATATAAGGGTATTGGAATGTGTTATATTTTGAAAAGCACCACATTTCCTTATTATGCTTTCTTTTTTATTAATTTTCTTCCTTTTTAATTCACATTGTTTGCTTATAGATCAGCAATGGCTTTCACTTATTAATGCACAAAACTTCTTCTGGATAACATGGTATTAGGTCGAGTTCTCCTCACTCTTCCTCTTACAGTCAGGATTGGATGCTCCAATCATTCTTCCCTTTTCACGCATTGTTGCTCCCATAGCCCACTGTGCTCATGTGAGCTGTTGCAAGTGCGTCCATGTTGCTTCTTGAATTTCCCTTTATGACACCCATTTTCATTTTGCATATTTTCATATATGTAGAGTTTTTTTTTTTTTTGTTTTTTTTTGCTTGTTCGAGTGCTTGCTGGGAGGCTTAATATCATTAAGCTTTGCAAGCCTTGATTTTGTGCGATCTCAATCTCATAACTATTGAGATGTGTTGATGAAGCACACTTGCATGTCTATGTTATATCTTGCCGCATGATCCCTTTGTATTTGCTTACATGATCGCCTGTTTTTTTATAATGCTAGTTTGGAAATGGAAGATGATGCATTATTCTGTCAGCAAACCTGGAGTAGAAAACTTAACAACACATTATAACAAAATTCTTTTTCTGTCTCGATCTTGCACTTTGCTGTTGCACATGGTTGTGCACATAGTCTTCAGAGTATCAACTTTGCCGACACTAGCCTTCACAAATGGATCAACAGTAGCAGGACTATGAATTTCCAGGTTAGACATGCACTATTACAGATATCATTGTGTCCAGTTTCTTGTTAATTAGTTTGTTCACCCCCTCCGCTGACTTGGCTTCTTTCTCTCATATCTCTCATCCATGGAAAGGAGAAATTTGGCCATCCATTTGCTGCTTAATGAACATTCACATCTAGGTCCACTTCGGCTATTTCTGGTGCTATGAATTTTTGATTTCGTACTCTTTTTAAAATGATTATGATCTACTACTCCTACAAACTTGGCCATTTTCTTAGCAGCTCATGAAATCTCTTCCTTTGGTTTTATTGTTTCTGTCTGTACTGGTATGCCTGAAATCTTAGATTTCGGTGCTTCCATATGTCATGTACCTGACAATTATTCTCATTCCTTATTTTGACTCCTCTCCCATCTGATATTATTGTTGATGGTACGTTTATGATTTTAAGGTAATGATCTATTCAATTTTCATCTTCTTTAACCCTGGATAATATTTCTTATGCTCCATAATCTTTGTCTATCTTTTATCCAAACATTGTCTAAGCATAAGTTACATCTATATTGTAACATTATATTCTACTCAGTTTGTCTTCCATGATCCATCTTTGGTAATTTTGAACACACATATTTAGGTAACATAATCGATAGAATAGTAGTTTTATGAAATTTGCCTTCATAATTTTCTCTTATCATGGCTTTTCTTGATACTAACCATCAAATTTTAACTTCAAAAGGTATATTCTCATTTATCTTTTATTCTTCTGTATAATATTTAGAAGATACTTTAATTTATTATGCCTTGGCATCTCTTGAACTTCTAATAATATTGAATAATAATTATTAATCATATACTCACTAACATTGCATATGATATTAAATCTTTTTTAATTAATCTTAAGTTCATTATTTTCTGTACATTTTCTCCCACATCCAAGCTTTCCAATTATTTAATTAGAACTTTTACTGATTAGAACGATGCCTGTTACGATTATCATGCATGCTACATAACTTGAAACATCAGTTGTGATCTTATCTCTCTAATATTACTAATTATGGACGTTATTTGATCTTTGTTATAATTTTATTATGATATTAGACTCCTTCATCAACTCATAACGGTTTCTAAATGTATAAATATATTATTGACATAATTACCTTTAACTCATCAGATCAATTCTCAAGATACTCAGTCATATGATTTCTCAAATTAATAAAAGTTATATTAAGGAATTTTTTTTTTTGCTCTTTATGCTTTTCCATTAATTGATTTAGCATGAAAACCACCTATACATTAGTCCTTGTTTGCGTAAAGTTAAATTAATTCTTTGATATTGATATGCTTTTGTTGAATATATATTTTGTTCATCTCTCACATAAGTTTGAATTAACAGGTAGAGATTTGCTATGTTGTTAAAACAAATGATGGAGTAAGCTTAGATTGCGACGTAGAGATTTGCTAAGAGTTTGGAATTGGATTAGGAGGTAGATTTACTTAGAGTTAGAAATTGGCTTAGGATTCAAACCGAAGAAAGATAAGTGTTTTTTGTGAAAAAAATCCTAAGCCAATCTTGAGAAACAGAATCCTGAAATGGAGAAGGAAAAAAGAGAAGCAGAGAAGGAAAAAAGAGAAGCAGAGGAAGAAGAAGAAGAAGAAGAAGAAGAAGAAGAAGAAGAAGAAGAAGAAGAAGAAGAAGAAGAAGAAGAAGAAGAAGAAGAAGAAGAAGAAGAAGAAGAAGAAGAAGAAGAAGAAGAAGAAGAAGAAGAAGAAGAAGAAGAAGAAGAAGAAGAAGAAGAAGAAGAAGAAGAAGAAAATTTTATTTTAACCTTCGTGAAGTTTTAGGGTATTGCACTACATATCTAATTGACATAAAATCACTTCCATTTGGTAGATCCTCTGATATGGAGATTTTTTTTCCCGAAATCCTAAATTAGTCTTTCTTTTATTTAGCCTCCTCCACTCCAAAACTTTTGAAACTTCTTAAAAAAATCTGCCCATCAATTAGATTCACATATGTAGCTACCAAAAATATTTCTATAGTCAAACTTAAGCAAACTCCTTAGTCATGATTCTTTCGTGAGTGGAGTGGTACCTAACTACAGGGGATTGTATTCATAGAAAGCTTGGACTCTGGATCTAAATAGACCTTGACCTTGCATTATGGGAAATCTCATTAAATTAATGTGCATCACAAAATGCCACTACTGTTTTTTCTCTTATACATCGAGGAAGTTCGAGGAAAGGGATGGCTTATCCTAAATGTTATTGATATGGATATAATTTTAAATATATAATTACAAAGAATTCATCTGGCTTGGCCAATTAGGTGTTGAGTATCTACTTGAGCTATATTTACTTGGAATCATTCATTCTCTGAAACAAGGTAACTATCTTGAAGTGTCTTGGCCTTTCAGCACCGAGATACTTTTATTTGATCTCAATTCTATTTAGGACTTTTTTTTTTTTGTTTTCTGTTAAACGATTCTTTGTTGGGAAAAATATTTAACTGAACGCTAAGCTTCTATGGCTCAGTTTTGTAGTTTTTTATGGATTGTTAATTTTGCATTTCTTGGCTATTTTGGCATCTTTCAATGCAATTGTTCAAAATTATTCATGAGGTTATATTTCTCAACTAGTTATTATTGTATAGCATCTTGTAGATCCATGTTCCTAGAATTCTTCAGGACATTCTGGAATATGGGTCAATCCACTGAATATTTTAATTATTAGCAAGGCATTTACTGTAGTTTATTCTTTATTTAATGTTAAGACATATCAGCAAGTGAGTTGCAATTATATCTTTCGAAATATGCAGGTAACCTGTGTGTAACGATATTCTCAATTTTACTTGCAGGTATATTTTAGTATATCCACAGGGATGTGATGTCTGCAATCATCTATCTTTGTTCCTTTGTGTTGCTAATCATGACAAGCTTCTTCCTGGTCCGTATTCTTCTTATTTTCTTCTTTTGATATGTAATAATTTATGTTTTCCTGCCTTTATTTTTTTGTGCATTTGCTAACAGGATGGAGTCATTTTGCACAGTTTACAATATCTGTTGAAAATAGGGATCCTAAACATTCCAAGTTCTCTGGTTAGTGAGATTGACAAGTAACCTCTGGAAATTTGATGAGATTTTCTAATATTTCCACATTTAATTTTTTCAATAAATTGATGTTTATACTTCATTTGCGGGTTTGCTAGATACGTTGCACCGTTTCTGGAAGAAAGAGCATGATTGGGGTTGGAAAAAATTTATGGAACTCACTAAGGTGGAAGATGGCTTTGTAAATGATGAAACTCTTATCATCAAAGCTCAAGTTCAAGTTATTAGGTATCAGTTTATAAAATGTCAACTACGCTATGTTTGGTGTTCAAACACTTGCAGTATGTTTAAAACATTTTGCAACTCTACTTCCTGAAAGAAATGCAGACACAATTTTCCTACCATATTATGTTGATCTCGATCAAGCTTTTTAGATTCTTTGAGTAGTTGTCCTATAAATAAAGATTTGTGAGCCATTTTGTTTACAAGTGTTTTCCTAATGTTCTTGCTCTATGAGTGAAATTTTTTTAATTTTATGTATTTAGAAACATATGCATACATATACATACAAATACACGCACACACATGTGTGCGTGTGTCTATGTATATATATATATGTTATATGTATATGTATATGTATATATATGTATGTATATTTATGTGTATGTGTATGTGTATGTGTACGTGTATGTATGTATGTATGTGCGTGTGTATGTGTGTGTGTGTGTGTGTGTGTGTGTGGATATATTTATGGGCTTTAATGTTGGTGAAGTTTGAGAAGATAAATGATCTTGCTCGAGCCTCATGCTTTGTCTTGCGCGCAGTTAGTTGGAACAAAAAGTTAACTATGGCAAACCAATTTATTTATTTTTTTGTAGGAAGACCCTCTAATGCTTGAGCCAATGGTTGAGTGTTAAGGTAAACTGAGTGTCAGGTCCTGCCCAAATGGCTTAATAAATTTCAGCACCAAGCAAATTGGATGGGGCAACTTTTTTGCACATTTACAACTCAACATATTTGACCATAATAATTACACAAATAATTTATATGCATCAAATCAATCTAGAGGTGATTAAACTAAAAACTATGCACAAATATGCCTGGGAAATATGATAAAAATTAACTATATAACTGTTCATTTTAGAAGGGATTGAGCTTACAGCCATTATATCCAAATAAAATCTCATTAACCATTCATTAACATCCAATCTCCAACTAATTGCTAATTTGCTTATCCACCATATTAACGAACCTCCTAATCTTCAAGGATTTCACACATGAACAGCCTAGTGAAAAGATATAATATATAGTAGGGTTTGCTGGAAACTCAAATAGCTAGTGCCAAATTTAAGCATTACAATTAAATATGGAAGAGGTCCAATTTTCATAGCCATTTAGCCACTTTATCTATAAGGAAGTATCTTGAGCATCGATTAATCATATTATTCATGAAACAATGTAATGTGCGCTAGTGAGATGCATTCCTCTAGATAAAATCAGAAGATTAAGTGACGTTAGATTATAGGGTCATATATAATAGCGCACACACTTCTTATGTATTTACATCTCTCACACCCAAACTTTCATAAATACACACATAACACTCAAATCTTTATATTACATAAAAAACAACACTATTATCAGATTTTAAAAATAAGATACACCTTTTCATGCATAGGCTTAAGGCACCTAGGTGCTATGTATGTAAATATGAAAGTTTAAGTGTGATATATGTAAATACATAAGAATTGCGTGTTGTGCTATGTATGTAAATTTCCCTAGATTATAATATAAAAATTTGTATGCAATGATGTATTCTTAGAGTAGCCCATTATCTCCTAGTGAAATTGTTAGTTTTGCATGTGTTTGTTAGTTTAGAATAAAGAGGGCTCACAAGAGTGTGCAAATTATAGAAGAATTAAGTTGATGTGTCATACTTTTAAATTATGGGAGAGTTAATTGAACATAGGTTAAGACGTGATAGAAATATTTCTCATAATCCGTTTGTATTTATGCCGAGTAGGTCTATTATGGAAGCTATACATTTATTGAGATGTTTGATGGAGAAGTACAAAGAGAATAAGGAGGACCTACATATGATTTTTATTGATTTAGAAAAAACTTACAATAAGGTTCCAAGAGAAATTCTTTGGAGAGTTTTGGAGAAGAAAGATATTGATACAACTTATATTCAAGTCATAAAAAATATGTATACTAGAGTTGTTATTTGTGTTTGAACAAAAGGTGGATTGACCAAGTATTTCCCATCTCAGTTGGATTACATCAAGGATGTGCTTTAATCCCATATTCTTTTGCTGTTGTTATGGATGCTCTGATTGGATATTTATAGGAGGATGTATCTTGCAGTATGCTTTTCGCTGATGATATTCTTTTTGTGGATAAGACTAGAGGAAAAGTTCAGGAAAAAGAATTATGGAGGTCTATATTGGAGTGTAAAGACCTTTGTTTGAGTAGATCTAAAACTGAATAAATTGAATGCAATTTTAGTAGTAATAGCTCTAGTGACAGAGTTGTGACTATGGGTGTTCAAATCATTAAAATATGTGAACGTTTTAGATATATGGGGTTTGTTGTTCAAAGTGACGGTGATATAGATGGGTATTTTATTAGCATAATTCAAGTTGGTTGGTTGAAGTGGAGGAATGCATCAGACCTATTGTGTGATAAAAAAGTGTCTCTTAGAGTGAAGACAAATTTTATAAGATGCTGGTGAGAACAACAATGCTCTATGATGCAAACTGTTGACTTTAAAAGCGAAGCATAAAACAAAGTTAAGTGTTGCTGAGATAAGATTGCTTAGGTGGATGAGTGACTTGACACTTAGGGACAAAATGCGAAATAAATATATCTGTGATAGGATTGGTGTAGGTCTAATGGCGTATAAGATTAAAAAGTGTCGTTTTAGATGGTTTGGTCATATTAAACGTCGACCATCGGATGATCTGATTAGGAGTATAGATACTTTAGATTAGACTTATGTTAAGAAGGCAAGGGTAGACTAAAAAGACTTTGGAGTATTGTATAAAAAATGATCTTAATCTATTAGAATTAAATGAAAATATGACATTGAATAAGACGCAATTGAGAAAAAAGATTCATGTAGCTGACCCCACTTAGTGGTATAAAGGCTTGTTGTTTTTGTTGTTGTTGTATGTGTTTGTTAGTAATGATGGAATCCACCGATCTAATAGTGATACCTTGTTGGCCACTCTGTCTCAAGTTGTGTTATATACATACTAACTTTACATGTCATTTTATGCTGATTATAATGGATTTTGTTTGTTGAATTGCACCATCATATTAAGCATCATCTATGAATTCATTTGGAAATGTAGTTCCACATAGTTAAAGCTTAAATTTATTTAACAAGATTGTCATATAGACTTAACATAATAACTTGCATATCACCATTTATAATAATTGCTGAACCCCCAACTCACTCATATTTATGTAAATAGGCTCTAATTACTTGTACTTCTAAAATTTATTCTATTATGGTTTCCATACGAAAATTCTCACTATTAGAAATATGAAATGTTCTATTTCATGTTTAAATAAATCTTTTTCCAAAATATACCTGTTAAAAATGAAAATTTGAACATGAGAAGTTAATTTCAGACTATTTTTCAAGCTTAGAACACTAACCATATTTTGATAAAACCCTAAAATGTATCTTCTCGTAATTTTGATTGATTTCTACGATATCTAGGGTAATTATACATAAATGTATTTAAGAAAATCTATGGTTCAAATGTATCTCAACTCAAATCGCTTGAAGAGGGGGAGGGAGGTGTTAAGTACAACCTTCTACTATCAACAACTTAAAATTAATGCATGGTTTGCTTCACCCTTGTCTTCAACTCTTCATCACTACTTCTCTTGTTTATCTCGATCTCTCGCACATTCTAGGATTGTTTAAGGAGAGGGGGAGAGGAAAAATACTAAGTGGCATTGAAGGACGAAAACTCGTCAAATTTGTATGCCACCGATAAGGGGACCTCTTCTCATACTCGCTTGTTAGATTTATTACATTTTGATGCTCATATTCTTTAGTGTGCTCGCTCTTCTTTCTCTTGCTATGTTCTATTGGTTTGATTGCTTGTATGAGTTCAAGACAACAAAACTCGCCCATCCCACCCCCCCTCTTCCAATCCATCCTCACTTAATCTTGAATAAGGATTTTAAAAGAAGGACAGGGGTTAGCTTGCATATCGCCTTATTTTAGGCATTGGGGTGTTAGTTAGGTGGAGCCATATTTTGAAATACTAACGTATTTAAAATGTATATCTTACCTTACATTTATGAACAATAAATAAATCCAAAAATATTGTGTTTTATTCAATAGATATTAATATTTAAAAATTTAAGTTAATGAAATTTTATGCTTTTATGTTGAATACTTAAGCTATTACTCTTTTGTTTTTTTAGTAGAATTTCATCCTTGAAAATTGAACTTACCAACCTTTATTTCTTGACCGCATGTTGTAAATAAATTTTCCAAGACAATGCTTTAAACTTGCTAGCATGAAAAACTTTCTTTAAAAATTTTAATACAAGCTCAACACAATAGGGTCATGATGCTAGCCTTCCCCCTACCCAAAAAAAATTAAGGTGAGGGTTGTTATTTCACAAAGACTCACTCCTTGAGACAAATATATTATATAATTTATAAGTAGCTTTCAGCTATCTCATAATTCACGAGCTTTTCAATCAAAATTGTCCATTAAAATGACAAAGAATTTGTAAGCAAGTAGATTGATGCAAGTTCATAACGAATTTGTTAAGTCTTTGCAAGTATGTTAAACAATTTGCAACTGATCATATTGGCAAAACGCCTTCAGCAAACAAGGGTCTAAAAAAGATAGCCTTGTGCTTGGACAAGAGGATCAATGTTAATAATTCTTTTCAAAGCAAAGTAAGATTTATTATCCTTCAATAAAATATGTACTACACAAAATAATAACCAAGTATTGCTATAGGAGAATAACTAAAAGTATAATATATTGGCAATTATAATAGAAGAAAAAACCTTGGGGCTATAATAAATCCATCAAACTTGGACCCTATTATCTTTTGGAGAGGTGATATAACTTTTTGTTCTTTCATCCTCTTTTAGCATTTAAAAATATTACTTTTTTATCATATGTTTCTTTGTGTTAGAGATTCTGACATCAAAGGCAACAAAAAGGTAGCTCGATCACATTTATCCTCTACATCAAGAAGAGCAACAAAAACAAAAAATTCTATAAGATCACTAATCATGAGAGTTTGCGCTAGAATTGAGCTAACATCCTGAGAAGGCACTAATTCCAAGACAAGACCTGAAGTGATTATAAATTTCAGTGCAAACCAGATTGAAAGTAGATGGAATTATTACCCTTGAAATAAAAGAAAAGATTTTATGAGATGAATTATCCCCATTGCCGCAATTTTTAGGAGGTTTCCGTTATTCTTGGCGTGCCTTGAAATATTCTCAAGTATTTTGACTAAATTTTATTGCAAGAACAGCAATAAGGGAGAGTGCCTTTAAACTCATCCCTTTGCCATTGGCCATTACATGGGAGTCAATCCATATTTTCTGTCAATCGTCTAACAAACATCTATTTTCTGCATAATCTTAGCTACTGACGGCTTGGATGGATTAGTAGTAGTTGCATCCACATAAAGCAGTTAACCAAAACCTAAGCAAAGAGAGTACAAAATGGATTGTTTAAAAATAATGAATTGGTAAATGTGGACAAGTAATCTAAATTGGGGCAGCACGCAGCTCATAGAATAAGTAAAATAAAATGTCCTTTTAAGCATTGGCATTAAGAAACCATCCAAATAGTATGTTTTTGGGGAGGGATCAATGCTATTATACCACTAGAGTATCATCACGTTAAGGTTTTAATATTAAATCATGACACATGAATATTTGGTAATCTAGTTTGAGCTTCAAGAAAATAATTTCTATTAATGTTGCCAGAGTAATTGAAAGGATTAAGCTGGAATAATATGATAATGATATTAATAGTAAGACATATCTACTGCTTACATAATAATTTCAACTTTCCAACCATAAAAAGTTGGATAAGTTTTAACTTCTAATAAGAAAAGTTTCAAATTGGTGTTTTCATTCAACTAGGTTACTTTTTGCTCCAGATTTTTCCATTGTATAGAGCCTTTCTCTTTTTAAAAAAAAAAAGAATAATTAGAATGATATTATGCGAAATTTATAGTGTGTATTATGGCTAGTAGGCTTTGTTACTATACACTATTCCTTCTTTTTCGACAAAAAACATTAGTCCCTTCTATCAAATATGATAGGTATTCATTTTCATTTTAATCTATTAGGTTTTATTTGAAGTATTATTAGTTTGATTTTCATTTTAATTCTCCAGTAAGGCTTTCTTAGTTTTATTGCTTTGGTGGTGTTCAGACCAAACCAATTGAATACATAAAAAAAAGTACTGAATGCATAAAAAAAGTTTTAATTTGACCATTGCCTACATTTGAATAGTGCGTGCTCAATGGGATGCCTCCTTGACAACTTCCACATTTGGTCTTCTAATTGCCTTTATGTGATGCAAAAAAACCACCCATAACTTGTGATTAATTTTAGTAGTTCAATCGAGGAGCCTACATTTTAATTGTGCATGCTCAATGGGATGCCTCCTTGACAACTTCCACATTTGGTCTTGTAATTGCCTTCATGTGATGCCCAAATAGAACCATTACTCGAATTAATTTTATTAGTTCAATCGAGGACATTTAGATTTCTACTTAGAGGATCTTTGTGCAATGATGCATTGATAGGGTGACAGTTTTTCTAGCCCTTGTACCTCTTGATCACATTATGATTTGTGGGGATTTACCCATTGCCCTTGATGAAGCACATGGCATTGGGATACATCTTTGAGTTCTGACATAAATTCGACCACACCATTGGCCTTTAAGCTATTGTTATAGATCCATCATTTCATTTAGATTTCCATTAGCATCAACCACTGAGTCTTGGGCATTCATCAATCTCTTCATTATTGCTGTGGGCCATGGTCCAACAAAGATCTTACAAGTGGCATAGCTTGATTTTGGACCATTTGATTGATTAGAGGAATAGAATACTCTTAATTGAGGGGCATTTTTGTGAATCCTGAATCTCAAAGGTGATATCATACTATTTGCAATGACACCAAAATGTGCTTCATCCAAATGCTTACAAGCACTTATAAGGAGCAGGTAAGGCTTTTTATCAATCTTCCATTTTCGAGGAGGATCAGTTTCTATTCTTATTCACCGCTAAGCTTAATAATTGACTTAGATAACTGAAGGACCTCTCTAAGACAATTCCATTGGGGGCCCTCCAACATTCTGAATTAATTGACTGTGTGCGATGGAGGGCATCTGACCCTTGACAATCCATCATATATATATTACAAGGTTCTGTAATTAGATAATATGGATTTGTCTCCAAAAACGATGCTATGGAATAATAAGACTATAGCCTTCTTTCCTATTTTAGTACAATTCATTGATTAAAATAAATCAAATCGCTAACTGTTTTTATTGTTAGGATTGAAGATTACCTTGGTTAATTTGTCCGACTGACTGCAATTTATTTGAGCGTTATTGGCTGTGAATTTTCTTTGGTACAAGTCCGTGAAAGACTAACTATTATGTATAGAGAGCTTCATTTCAACCTTTTTTAGTTTTGGATCATATTTCATAGATTCATTTGTAAAACTGTTGAAAATGTTATGATGAACTTGAAAGAAAAAGAATCATGGGTTAGGCCATGGAAAGTCAACCCTGATTGTTTTTCGTAGTCGGTTTCTAAGATGCTGGAATATTTGACTGGGCAAACAATAATGTGTAGATTGAGATAGAGTATCATAAATATTCTGATAAATATGTTTTTATACAGTATGGTCTACCATCAGGATGTTGCAATTATTGAATCCAATTTAAGGCAAAGCATTTCTTTCAAAAATTGTCTTGGAACTTTACAATACATGAAAAATCTGCTCGTGAAGTTTTAAGCACCTTTCAATGTGTTGTTTATGCCATAAGGAAGTGCAAACTCGAGATTTAGCTTCGCTTTTGATTAATGGATTTTGGCTTTTTTTTATTGATCTGTCTATCTGAACCAAATGAAATTTAAAATTACTAATAATATGAAGATGTAAATAAGTGGCCACAGGGTATTGGAGTTTTTTATTCCCTTATACATATGAGCAGATAATATGTGATTGTATACTGCTATACCAAGTTTATATATAACCTGTCTTTCATGAATAATATTTTATATTTTTGAAACATATATTTCATGTTTTTTTTTTTCTTCCAAATTAATCATTCACAGCTAACATTAGTAATTAGTTTTATAATTCGATACTTCATATGAATTACTCTTTTGTATCCCGAACTATTTATATTGATCGTTTTGAAGCTACCAGTTTTAGCTTCTTGACATTGATATTTTCTTTGAAAATCCCATAGTTCGTTTCTTAATTGAATCTGCTTCTGCATTTTGATGTTTGAGGGAGAAAGCACACCGCCCCTTTCGTTGCCTTGACTGCGAGTACAGAAGAGAATTAATGCGGGTATATCTATCAAATGTAGAGCAAATTTGTCGGCGTTTTTTTGAAGACAGAAGAAATAAACTCATCAAATTGATTGATGATAAAGTGAGATGGTCAAGGTAGATCCTATCTCTAATGCTTTATTGCACTTTTTTTTTATTTTAAATTGAGCTAAGAATAGCCTTGGTTATAACTTCGCTATTATTTTTAATGTCAGTGTATTACTTGTTAAAGCTTGATCCTTTGATTAAATCTGTGTTGGTTGTTTTCAGTTTCTGTTCCTTTTGGTTAGGGATTGACCAAAATTCAAGGAGACGTATTTCAAGGGACAAGTTAGATACAATACTGAGAGTAGTCGTGAAGCACTTTTTTGTAGAGAAGGAAGTCACATCTACTTTAGTTATGGATTCTCTTTATAGTGGTCTGAAGTTTCTTGAATGCCAAAGCAAGAACAAGAAAAAAACACTGATGTTAGAAATGGAGGAATCAGCTGTTCCTATGGTTCAAGTTGATAAAGATATGTTTGTTTTAGCGGATGATGTAATATCATTGCTTGAGAGGGTGGCATCAGAAGCTTTGCCTGCAATGTCTTTGCCTCCTAAAGATGACAAGATTACCCAGAATCGTACTAAGGTACGATATGTTGTTTTTTCACTTAGCATTTTACACGGATTGAGTAGCAACTAGTACATTTTACTAAATTTTTTAGATCTGTTGATTGATCTGATGAGACTCACAACCTATATTAACATTATTGCTTTTGTTTTGATATTTAAAAGAGTTCTTATCTTTTAATCTGTCTGCACTTCTAATGGTCTTGTTTGCCGTCTGCTTTTATTTTCCTTATCCTTTTTTATCATAGTTTCAAGGTTCTCTGCTCCTACAATCTAAGATTACTAATTGTATGTTTACTTTTGTAGCTATGGCGTAATTTCTTAGGAAGTACGAGTCAAAGATGAAAGAATATGAGAAAACACTATTTACCTAATGGCATTTGTTGGGTGTCAATGACAATAAAAGTAAAAGCCTATCTATGAACTTATTTTATTCCTTATCCTTTCCAAAACCTTTTTTCTCTTTGGAAAAGAATATTCAATGTGTATTTAATGAGGAGATTAGATATTGGAATTAAATATTGTTGTAGTTATTTCTCTTTCCATTAAACCATCAAATTGTTTTTACTTAATTCAAGCCATTAACATCGACTATTATACTCCAAGATGTTTAGTCCTTATAAGTTCACCATAAGATAGTACAGGGAGCATTGATCGATTTGTTGATCATGTTTTCATGTTGTTTCTCTACATATTTTTCATTCAATTCCTTTCTTCAGTGGTTTTTTTCCAGTTGTGATTGGGTGGACCAAATCTTTTTGAGTTTTCTATTATTTTGCCTGTCTTTCTTTACTTTTTTCCTTGCTATGATTGATTAGTAAAAGTTTTATTGGGCTTTGTGATTAAGGCATTTATTAAAAAATAATTGGTAAAAAAAATTACCAATTGAATCTACCATTTGTTTTACTTTTACATTTTATTTCTTTCATCAAGTAGTATGTTTAATATCTTCGGGGAGATTATCTCTACTACAATTGGGAGGTTTGTTATTCTTTGATGAACTTTTTTCTTTATCATGCATTCGTCTGTATTTTATTATTTTTTTTAGCGCGCAATTGAATTTAATGAAATTTGCAATAATGGGCTTTTTAGTGAGTGCTATTAATCATTGGGCTTAACTTTTTTTAAAATTAATTTTTAGTCACTAATTTTGGTGTAAGGGATGGAGAGGGAAGAGAAAAGAAAGGAACTTCACTTTTATAACCTAAAGTGATCCACATAAAAAGCTTGGATTAAGAGAGAGCACTCAGATGAAGCTCTAAGAAGAACAATTTCATTCATCATATATTGTCGGTCATCTTATGCAAACTATGAATTCTTACTTATAGATATGGGTTACAAAGGTACAACCAAATATTTTGAAATGAAATCTATTTCTATCTCAAAATTTAATTTAATCCTATGAAATTTCAAATTCAAACAAAATAAATTAAATATTTTAAAAGATGAATAAATTTGACAATATTATCCAAATGGATAATCCAAAATTAAATTAGCCTTCCATGCCTTGAAATTTGGCACGATTTAGCTTTCTTATAATGTGGGTTGATTTTTTGTTATTGGTAGGATGTAAACGAGCCAAGCCTGATCAAGTTGAATATGTGTTTGTTGTTGACTCATTATATTTTTTTTGTTCGAAATTAGTTCATGTTCGAACTAGATCGTGAAAATTTTGCTTATGTTCGACTCAAGCAAATGTTTGTGTTTGTTTTCAACTCGTGTTCTGCTTGAATTGAGTCATTTAAATTAATTGAAAAAATAGTCATTGGTTGTTGAATTCAAACATGCTTCAATAAAAGGTGCATTACCACATTACCACACGGGGGTTGTGGTGATTGAAACTAGATATAAATATGAATATATATATATATATATATATAATATTCTTATTTTGAGCTTAAACGATTTAACAAAAGTTTGTTCATGTTCAACTTGTTTATAATTTGAGATTAAAAAAAAATGTTAGTTTTAGGCTTTCGCTTAATTAATGAACAATTCGAACACGAGCTATTCGCAAACAAAGAGCTTTTTTGACAACCCTAGTATTGTTATATGAGATACTACTGATTTAGTTGAATAATCAACTAATTTTTTCTAACATTTATTCACTTGGCATATAAAGAATTATCCTTTAAATAGTTTGCAGAGGTGACGTGCAGGATTGGGACTAATAAGTGAAAGGACTTTGTAATGCACATATTTCAACGATATGGTGTTGGATGGTTGTGAAATACATGTTTTTTTATGCATAAGCAAGGCGCATATATGTGAAAATTGAATTTTAGATGTTAGATATGTAAATAGACAGGAATTAAGTGGCATGTGTGTAAATCTTTCTAAAAATATAATGGACTGTTTGTGCTGTCAGGAAAATCTCTTCCATGATAAATTTAGGGACTCCATTATGTGTTTCAATGGCATGAGTGGTTGCATTGTTTTTAACAGCTGCTTCTGAATAATTAATCTTTGGTGAAAAAAAGAAAAGAAAAGAAAAGCAACTATAGGTGACCAATATTTACGCTATGCTTTTGTTTATTCTCTAAACAAATAATTTGGGAGCATTGTTGTTAAGGTCTCATGGATATCTGATCTTTTCTGCTTGTTGAGTTTATCTTATCATTTGTATTGATACATAACGTTCTTTATACTATGATATTGATATATAGGAGGGAAATTCCGCTGATGATATTAAGGACTCTGTTGGTGATGAGAGACGGCTTACAGAGCTGGGCCGTAGAACTATTGAAATTTTTGTTCTAGCTCATATATTTAGGTATCCATTTTCCTAATAATTTACTCATTTTCTGCAATGAATACCCATGATTTTTTGTTATATGCTGCAAAAATAAAATGTTGGTTAACTTTGAGCTAGAGTATTGCATTTTATTTTTTATTTCTTGTACCTTTATTTATTCAATTGGCATAAATAGTGGCTAGCTTGGCAATCTTTGAGATTGCAAATATAGTCGCCCGTCCTGCCATCTATCATAGGCAATTTGTGGATTGCAAGGGGGCGGAAATTTCTCTCATATTTTAAGGAAATTAATATCAGCAAGCTATGGAATGTCTTCTTTTATTTCCAATGTAATATATAGTTTTCATTGGTATTAATTATCAAGTTTAATCTATAATCTTGCTGCATAAATTGAGGGCATGGTCCTTAATGAAATATACATAAAATTCATATAAAAATTGCTCTTTTCATGGCATTAGAGTCTAGTAACAAAGAGTTCTACATTTTTTTTTTGAGGTTTTCTTTTTTGTCTTAAATCTTCTCTAACATTTGTCGTCCACTGCCCAACCTCCACTTCTTGCTATTGGTGTTCACCTACCATTGTGGTAGGCTGTCTCATAGATGCTGTGGCATCTTTGGCTTCCAGAACCCGCTACTTGCCGCCTGAATTTTGTCTGCTGCCTCCCACTACTATCATAAGAGACCTACTCTAGTGCGAGGGATTTTTTTTTTCTTTTAAATGACAATGTTTTATTTTATAAGATGTTGACCAAGTCCTAATCAACTTGTCATAGGTGAGTACTAAAACCTTCAATCGTTATTCAAATTGAGTGTATAAATTACCTTATTTTGTCCTGGATTATGAAAACATTATTTAGGGGAAAGTTGGTTTGTCAGATGATCTCGATTTTGTTGCCTGGGATGTAAAAGGTTCCTCAATTTTCTCATGGTTCTATAATTTAATAATTCTATAAGCCACTGGAACCAACATATTCCTAACCATAGTCAAGAATATTTGGAATTTGGTAAAACAAACATATCGGCAGGTGCATAATGTCATGTTAGTTTATAAAATTTAGACATTTACACCACTGAGAAAGTTACACTAATGGTTCTTAAATATTATGGCAATAAAAAAATTGTGTTTTAAACTTGATTTCTATGAGTGTATCATAATAAGATGCATCTAAGATGTTGCAGTGCTACTAATTGTTGTAGGAGAAATATTTTATGAATTTTTAGCTAAGGCTAAATGTTAAATATAATCTAAGCGTGAATTCTTATATTTTAGGAAGCACCCTTTTTCCACCTAGACGGAGTAACTTCTACCATCAGAAGTGAAGAAAAGGGGCACGGTGTTATGTTAGAGAAACCACGTGTGGGTAAAATGACTATTTATCCCCACACCAATTGCAACCAAAATCAAGCAATACAACTATAAACTCAGTCCATTAATGTTAAAAAATGAAGGATCTTTGTTTTGTAACTATTGTAAAAAGGAGGAATACACAGAAGTTATGTGCTGGAAATTTTTAAGGGAAGCCTGCATATAAAGAAAATAAGCCTCCATATCAAAATCAATCGATACATCATCCAACAAATACTACTTCATTGGAGGAAAAAATATTATAGACGTAGGACTAAAGAAGAGGTAGATAAACTTTGCACTTCTTGAGAACAATTGATGGACCAATGAGTATGTGCTTTATGGTTCAATTCGACCAGTACTTCACTTCATGCTTTTTTGCACTCCTGAAATTGTTTCTAACAAAATCTGGATAATCTGCTCAGGTATAACTGATCACATGACCAACTCTTCCATTAATTCCTTTTATATATACCCTGCGTAAGGAACCATGAAATAAAAGCATTAGATGGAACCCCTGTCGCTTTTGCCCAAAGGAAATCTATAGAAATTTTACATTTCCTTTCATTTACAAATGATCTTTACATATTAAAATTATTTGTTGGAGACTGATATTCGGCCCAAACTGCACTGCAATATTTTGTCTTACTCATCCATTTATTTCTGGATTGAACCGGGTGGAAGATGATAGGATATTTGGACATAAATAGTAATAATCATTTGCCCCAATACATTATTCCAAAAGTTTCAAATCAAGAAGGGCACATAGTTGACTATTATATTTAGATATACCATTTCATCTTTCAATTTAATGCAGTATATATTTCCATTGTTATTCAATGAAATAATAATTGAGGATTTCCAGCGCGAGGAATATCAAATGGTCAAATAATTATAGAATATCCTACCCCCACACTACTAAATAATTTCAATATATATTTTTTAATCCACAGCATTGCGTTGCACCATCTCACATCACTTATTTTAATGGTGCTATATTGTTTGTTGCTTCCATAGAAGATTGCTCATGTACACCCTAATTTCTTCTCATTAAATATAAATTCGGTGTTTGTATGAATTTTCATAAAATAATTTTTACCCATTTTTAAATTAACATCAAAATATATTAGATATTTTAAATTTAAGATTAAATATATTAGATATGATAAAGGGAAGGAATATTTTAATCAAGCTTTATTATCTTTTCTTCACTAAAATCATATCATCCATGAATCATTTTATTTAGACACCCAACATCAAAATGAGATTTCAGGAAAAAATTAACAGCTTCTCGTTGAAAGCACTATTCATTCTTTTTAGGGGGGAAAAAAATCAAGAAGGGCAGATAGTTGACTCTATTATTTTCAAATTTTAATCATGGGGAAGTCTCTCTAACTCTTAACATTTTTAATTGATTGTCCCTAATAGAATTTTAGAAATAAGATGCCTATTAAAACTCTCATCAAATTTTTTTTTTTTCGAACACACAACAATTATTGCTTTCACTTAAAAACTTTGGGAGTGTTTCAATATGTTTATCAATGCTATCAAAACACTAAGATAGATCTAAGAGCCATAAAATACATCGTCTTTGGATAGTGACTTAAAAAGGATATAACATTTTAACATTCTAATATCAAAAAAGTTTTTTTTTTTCGTTCGGGTTGTTATATTCGCAGAAAATTATTGATTTCATGACCAAAGAATGTTTCCAAGGACAGCCATGGAATGAAGAAACTTTTGATTTGCTTGCGCTTGATGTCCCAATCACCCAATTGGCCCAAAAGTCACAAGTAGTGTGAGACTTCCCTACAAATAGAAGTAGCCTCCTCAAATAAAAACTGTAGCAAAATCCTTTCTAATGAATCTAAATCATTACTACAAGTACTCTATGAGAAAGAAAGAAGAGTTTAATGTTGTGTTAAGCATGATGAACCATTTGAATCCATGTTAGATGAGACGTCAACCAACAAAAGTATAATTCTACCCCTAAAATTCAAAACCATCATATATCAATCTTCCTATTCCTTTAGTATAGGAACCCGAATATGCACCCATCATTCAATAGACAACTTTATCCTTCCATTATTTTTTTCCTCTAAGAGAACCTTTCTTGAGACAAATGATGTCACGATTCTAAGAACTTTTCAAGAAGAACTTGAGAATAAAGAATGAAAAAATGACATGATTGAAGAAATGAAAACCCAAGTGAGAACCGAATATGAGAGTTAGTAGAATTGTCAAAAGAAATTGAATTAATTTGATGTAAGTGGAAATGCACTATCAAGTAAAATGCAAACGAGATACTTAAAACCAGAAAATTAGACTAGTGTCCAAGGACCATACTCAAACCTATGGATTGGATTATGGAGATATTTTAACACTAGTTGCCAAGCTAAACACTATTCAAATTCTTTTTTCCTTGGGCGGATAAAGTTAACTAGTCTTACAATTGTTGGATGTCAAAAAAATGCATGATGCTTTTATGGAACCTCTGCCGGATTTTAATTATGATGCATTAGATTATAACGACTATTCCCACACCATTACTACTTATTATTTGATTTTATTACCTGATTATGTATTTCCTTTTTTGTTTTATTTTGTTTTATTTTCTTTCCTAGTTATTTTTTCTGCTTTTATTGCTTTATTTTATTATGTCCAATGTATTGGGTTCAAATACCCTTCCTCCTATCCATAAAATTGTGTTGTTCTATTCCAAATCTTAACCTGGTATCAGAGTCTAACCCTAGATCCAATAGCCCCCTACCTTCTCTGTCAGTTCCGACAGTCGACGCCTTCACCTCATTCTCTTAGCTGGCAGCCTCCTCTGCCAGGTTCAACGAATTGCAGAAATCCTTCTATTTTAGTAAATTTGTGGCTACGGACAACTAGATTCCTTCTTGTCGGTTGTAGGAATCCTTCAGATTTTTGTCTGCTGGTATCGTTATTCTAGCCAACTGTACGAATCCTTTAGATTCCTTCTGCGGACGGACAATTTTTGAGCCGATCCTCCAATTCCTGCTTCAAGCAACCGGTTTTTTCTTCTCTGCAGGTTCCTGTTTGCAAGATTCCTTCTGCTGCTAGTGTTCCTACAGGTCCAATTCTAGAAGGATTTATACTATCTTGCCGGTTCTTGTTTGCCAAATTTCTCCTACTGCCGCTGTTCTGCAGGAAAAATTCCTGCAGTTGTATCCGTTTGTCGTGATTGTACCAAAATTCATGGATGACTTAGAATAACAATAACATATCCTTTGACTCAGTCAGAATTATGACTTATTCTTTCAATGAATCACCCTCAAAAGTCGTTCTTGACTTCACCGGTGGGTCGACTCCAACCTTCGCTCCCTTGCAGATCGGAAAACTGAAAGCCGACGTCAAACTAATAAGTTGAACGACGGTAACTTCTTCCAATGATCCTAAGCGGTGTTTTTGTTCATCAAAGGACGTGGGATGTTTGGTCATCTCACATGTATGATTCTTGAGCCTCCAAAAACTGACCCAACATATGAGGATTAGGAAGTGGAGAGCTTCATGGTCATTTCATGGCTGATTAATTCTATAGAGACTTCAATTGGTCATTCGTACATGTTCCTCCTTTTAGCCAGTGCTCTCTGAACGGCTATCCGTGATACCTACTTGGATGTAGGAAATTCCGACAAACTCTATCAGATATCCAAGAAGATCAGGGAGGCAAAACAACAGTCAAGTATTGTAACCTAATACTATAATTACCTGGTTGCATTATAGATGAAATGCGACATGTACTATGAATACACTTCGAATTATCTTGTCGACGTATCCTTATTCCAAAATATCTTAGAAAAGGATCGTATGTTCCAATTCCTTGTTGGCCTTAATAAATTAAGATTTTGACGTAGTTTGGGGTCGTATTCCTGGTTGGGATCCTCTTCCTTCCGCTTGAGCTGCTTTTACCGAGATTTGTCAGGAAGATAACATGAGACTTGTCATACTTGACATCTCTACTTCTTCAACTGCGTTGTTCGCTTTGATCTTAAATAGTGCTCAACCCTTGTCCATGCCACCTCAGATCGGTCACCTCACTTTTGATTACTGTCACAAACCTAACCACACTTGGGACAAGTGTTGGAAACTTCACGGTAAGCCGACATAAAAACCTTCAGTCAAATCCTCTTCTTTCAAGGGACTCATGGCGACGGACGAATCAGGCACGACTCAAACGACTCCTACCCGGAACATCTTGGAATTCTCTGAGTTTTGATTCTATTTTCTCCAGAGGACAAGTGTGTAGGCTACGAAAGTCCCTTTATGGGCTAAAACAGTTCCCATTGATCTAGTTCGACAAGTTCACAATGATGGTCATGGGTTAGGGGTTTACTCAGGCTCAATCGCATCAAACTCTCTTCTTTTGGCACTCCTCCTATGGCCAGGTAGCTATCCTTATTATCTATGTTGACAATATTGTTCTTACAGGTAACGATCTCTCAGTATTGGAGTCTTTAAAAGACATTCTTGCTTCCTCCTTCGAGATAAAGGATTTGGGATCCTTCGATACTTTTTAGGCATGAAAATGGCTTGGTCATCTCCGGGAATTTGGCTGTCTCAATGCAATTATGTGATTGATCTCTTAACATAGAACAACTTTTTTCTGTGCGAACCTGTTATTGTTTGTATAGATCTTAATGAAAAGTTATTTGACATTCCCAATGATGTACCCGTCAACAAAACTCATTACTAGCGTTTTATGGTAAAACTCATTTGCCTGACTCATACTCGCCACGACATATGCTACGCAGTTGTAAGAGTGAGTCAATTCATGCATGACCCCTACGAGCGCCACCTCCAAGCTGTCCACCGAATTCTCCACTACTTAAGAGGTACACTGAACTCGGGTTTGTTCTTTTCTCGCCACATCTCTCTGTCTATTAATGTTTATATAGATGCTGATTGGACTGGATCGATTCATGATCGGTGTTCTACCTCGGGGATCTCGGGGTGTCGTTCATTTGTATGGAGCAATCTTGTCACATGGAAAAGCAAGAAACATTCTGTGGTTGTCTGAAGTAGTGCTGAAACTGAATTTCAATCCATGTCCTTAGCTCCTTAGAAAGCTATGAAGCTCTCTGGCCACACATCATGCTCCGTGAACTTCGTAAGCCAACCTCTCTGGCTACGCATCATGTCTCGTTGCAGCTATGCTGTGATAATAAGACCGCAATCAACATTGCTCATAATGCAGTCCATCATGATCATACCAAACATGTGGAGATCGACAAACACTTTTTTAAGGCAAAGATTGAGTTCGGAGATATTTGCGTTCCATATGTATCCTCCAATGGTCAACTAGCGGGCATTCTCACCAAGAATCTGCCTTGCCCTTTGCTCTATGACTTTAAGTCCAAGTTGAACGTGACTGACATCTATGTTTCAGGGGGGATATTAGATTATAACTGCTATTCCTATGTCGTTATTGCTTATTATTTGATTTTATTCCCAGATTTGGTATTTCTTCTCTTGTTTTATTTTGTTTCATTTTCTTTCCAAGTTATTTTATTCTATTTTTATTGCTTTTCTTTATCATGCCTATTGTAATTGGGTTTAAATACCTCTCTATCAATGAAATTGTGCTGATCTATTTCAAATCTCAACAAGATTTTAATACTAACAATGTCTGCTGGTTGAAGAAAATCTTACAATGGTACAAACAACCTCTAAGAGCATTGTTTGGGAGGCTTAAATAAAGCCATGAAAAGGAATTAGTCCAAACAAAGCCTTAGAGACTACCCTCTATTCACGAGGGAATCCATCAAAGAAAAAATTGTAGTTTGCATAATGTATGCGGATGAAATGATTGTAACAGGAGATGAACTCAAATAAATATGAAGGGTAAATGATCTGCTATCAAAAGAGTTTGAAGTCAGTGATATAGGAAAACTTGAATTTTTTTTAGAATTGAACTGATCTTCAAAGGCTGGGATAGTCATCTCTTAACAAAAAAATGCATCATTCTTCTACCAAATAAGACATTTATGATGGGATATCAGTTTGTAGAAGCTCCAATTGATCACTGCCATTAACCTAGAGAGGCTGCCGATAAACCAAAAATTGACACAAGTATCAAAGATTGATTAGGAAGCGTTGCTACCTTCTTCATAAAGACTAGACAGTCTATGTTGTAAGTGTTCAAAGTCAATTTTTGTATAATTCTTGGGAAACCCGTTTATGGATTGTATGTACAATTTTTTTATACATCAAGGCAACCGTATTAGATTATAACTGTTATCCCTATGTCGTTATTGCTTAATATTTGATTTTATTCCTAGATTTAGTATTTCTTTTTTTGTTTTATTCTGTTTCATTTTCTTTCCTAGTTATTTTATTCTATTTTTATTGCTTTTTTTTATTATGCCTATTGCAATTGGGTTTAAATACCTCTCTATCAATGAAATTTTGCTGATCTATTCCAAATCTCAACAAGATTTTAATACTAACAATGTTTGTTGGTTGAAAACCTTACAATGGTACAGCCAACCTCTAAGAGCATGGTTTGGGAGGCTTAAATAAAGCCATGAAAAGGAATTAGTCCAAACAAAGCCTTAGAGACTACCCTCTATTCACGAGGGAATCCATCAAAGAAAAAATTGTAGTTTGCATAATGTATGCGGATGAAATGATTGTAACAGGAGATGAACTCAAATAAATATGAAGGGTAAATGATCTGCTATCAAAAGAGTTTGAAGTCAGTGATATAGGAAAACTTGAATTTTTTTTAGAATTGAACTGATCTTCAAAGGCTGGGATAGTCATCTCTTAACAAAAAAATGCATCATTCTTCTACCAAATAAGACATGTATGATGGGATATCAGTTTGTAGAAGCTCCAATTGATCATTGCCATTAACCTAGAGAGGCTACCGATAGTCCAAAAATTGACACAAATATCAAAGATTGATTAGAAAGCGTGGCTACCTTCTTCATAAAAACTAGACAGTCTATGTTGTAAGTTTTTCAAGTCAATTTTGGTATAATTCTTGGGAAACCCGTTTATAGATTGTATGTACAAGTTTTTTATACATCAAGGCAACACTAGGAAAAGGAATATTATTCAAAAGAAATTAAAGGCTCATTTTAGAAGTATTCAATATTGCTGCTGGAGTGGCACTCCTTACATATAGGTCTTTTATTGATTATTGCAGTTTTCCAAGTCAATCTAAACATTTAGAGAAATATGAAACAGTAAGTGGGAACCCGGTCTAGCTTCGAAGTTGAATTCTGGGGAATGTCCTAAGTAGATTGTGACCAATTATGAATCAAAATTATCTTAGATGAAAATGGGAGTGTACTATGAAGTCATGCTATGAAAAAAAAACAGCCATGAATATTGCACATGATATAGTCCACATGAAAAAATCAAACACAGAAGTTAGATTAGCATTTTATCTAAAAGGAAAAAAAAGAAGAAAAGAGAGAGAAAGTAGGCTAATATATATCCCAAATATTCACAGAAATAAGCATTTGGTATCCTAACCAAAGCATTATTGAGTTCCACATTCCCGAAAATCACTGCCAAGTTAGGCATGAAAGCTCTTTACTCTATAGTCTAAAGGAGTATTGGCATCTTTAGTGCCATCTGGGCTTTCTATGAGATTGTAAAGCTGATCACCCACTTTGCCATCTTTCATTGGCAATTTATGGGCCGCACAATTTGAAAATTCCTAGTAGATTTTCAGAAATATAATTGTGCATGCTGTAGAATATTTTCATTTTTTTTTTTATGTAATTAGTAATTTCCATACCAATTGTAATATAGAACCCTTCCATAGAAAGTGGGCAAGGCCTCCAATTTATTATACATAAAATATAAATCATTTTTTTCACCATTGTTTAACTTGAATTATTTGAACTTTCATTAACATTGAAAGGGCTTAAAGGGTTGATTGGCCTTTTTTTCGTTTTCTATTCTTTTTAAAAATATTCTGGTAGCTCCTATGCCTATGAACTACCAATTTTACTATTTTTTTAATTGTTGGAATATTTTTATAAAAATAGAATGTGTGTTAATCTTGATATGCATGCTAGAAAGTATCATGGACATTTGTTAATCATCAAATGAAGTCATGCACCTAGCATGGTATGCAGAGTCGGTCAGATTATTGATCATTGCTCACAAATTTTTTTGGTAAATCTGTCCTCTGGCCAAATGAATTTTTAAGCTTGTATTTGTGCGGGCTTAAAGCAAGTCTCAAAATGGTATGTTTATTTGGATGTTCATTGTGGGCAATGGGATTTGGTCCTATTTACACGAACATATCTCTTGCAAATATGCTATTTTTATTTGAATTATCTGTTAAATGTTTGAATGCAGACCGGTCTCGCTACAATTTTCCTCCTATTTCGTGCTTATGTGTTTTTTTGCAGCAGTAGAATTGAAGTTGCTCACCAAGAGGCTGTTGCTTTGAAGAGACAAGAAGAGCTTATCCGGGAGGAGGAAGCAGCCGGGCAAGCTGAGCATGAGCTAAAGGCAAAGCGGGCTGCTGCGGAGAAAGACAAACGTACAAAGAAAAAACAGGTAGGTTTTTGATAAATTGCTGAATTGCACTGTGTCGTGGTTAATAATGTGGAATGTTAGAATATTAATACCTCACGCTTTGTTTTCTTTATTATATTGACTCGGATAATTTCAGAAAAGGCATATTCTTTACACAACAGCAATTGTTTAGTTAATTTTCTGGGTTTTTAGATTTGTGGGAGCGGCTTCTTTTAGCCAACTATTGTTTTTATTTTCGTTTATTTTATGTATTGGATGCTAATCTCTTGTACTTTATAAAATTGATATTAATGAAGAGTTGAGCCAACTATTGCTTTTTATTTCCTTTTAAATAGATGTAGGCATATTAGCTCATTAATGAACTATTATTTTTAGTATTAAAAACCAACAATTATACTTTTAAGAAGGCCTGAAATTTAATAATAAAATCATTAAAAAAATTATACTTCAATAGTAAAAGAGTGAAAAAAATCAAGAAAGAACAAAAAGGAAAAAAAGTACTACGGATGGAAAATTATGGTAAACGCTTAGATCTACTCTAGGAGTGCAGAGATATGAAGAGTTGGATGCTAATATTGTGAATAAGTGCTGAATTGCAACGCAGGGTTACATTAGCTGCAGGATTGACTTAAAGGGCAAAGGAATGGCAAGGATATTAGTAGAATTCTAGATTGCAATGGTGGCAGCACAAGATGAGAGCCAGAGTACATTGTGGGGAAAAATGGGCAAAGGGCACATGCTGGGAGCAAGAGCAATAGAACTGTGAAGCTGTGCGCAAAAATGGTCTAGACATTATTCATATCACATTAGGGCAATGCTGTCGTGAAGACACTTGGGCTGGTTTAAAGCTAAAGTAAAGAAGCGGGCTATGATATCAATCACACCACATTCGGTTTGGTCGGCACGGTATGATAACTTTGCTGCATGGATGTTTGGATGAGATCGACGGGGAGGAGCTCCAAGCTGTGATGCTAGGACAGCAAGAAGGGTGAACAGAGTGCAAAAAGATGGCACGGGAGAGGAGCAACTTGAGCACCTGGGTGCTTCTAGTGTGAGGATTACATTGGGAATTTAAAAAAAAAAAACTTGAAGCGTTTCACTTATATGACTCTGCAAAATGTATGAGAAACTGTAATGATAAAAGTCATTGCAAGGGTGAATGTTGTCCCAAAAGAATATCTCAAGAAACTAATGGATTGTGAGGAATACTTTAGTACATGTTTTATGGGATTTTGACGAGATCAAGTGCTATAGAGAATCACAGATAGATTTAATTGATTACACTTCAGCCCAAAATTTCCTGTTGCTAGCTTTGGTTCTTTCCACTGAAGGCTCATTTTTGACTCACTGCAAAAATTCCATTTATTTCTGTTCTTGACACCGTTAAGAATGTTTGGACTTGTTTAAGCAAAGGCTAACTTACGTACTAGCAATCTTACAACCCAACCCATGCTAGCTCCAATAAAATATAGAAAGCTACTGGAATATTCAGAATGGTTGGAAATATGATTTCAATAACATTGTAACAACAACAACAACAACAACAACAACAAAGCCTTAATCCCACTACGTGGGGTCGGCTACATGAATCTTTTTTCTCCATTGTGTCCTATTTAGTGTCATATTTTCATTTAGTTCTAGTAAATTAAGATCATTTTTAATACAATAAGCCCAAGTCTTCCTAGGTCTACCTCTGCCTTTCTTAACACAAGTCGAATCTAAAACATCTACTCTCCTAATTGGATCATTAGATGGTCGACGTTTAATGTGGCCAAACCATCTAAGACGACTTTCTCTAATTTTGTCTGTCACAGGAGCTACACCAACCCTATCACGAATATATTCATTCCGCATTTTGTCTCTAAGTGTAAAGCCACTCATCCACCTAATCATTCTCATCTCGGCAACACTTAACTTATTATTATGCTTCTCTTTTAAAGGCCAACATTCAGCGCCATAGAGCATTGCAGGTCTCACCACCGTCTTATAAAATTTTCCTTTTAGTCTTAACGGTACTTTTCTATCACACAAAAGGCCCGAAGCATTCCTCCACTTCAACCAACCAACTTGAATTCTACTATTAACATCCCCATCTATATCACCATCGCTTTGGACAACGGACCCAAGATATCTAAATCGTTCACAACCAAC